CAACAACAACAACAACAACAACAACAACAGCCAAAGAAAGTTTTTAACAAACCAAAAAGCGATCCATTAGAACGTAAAATGCAGAACGATAAACAAACCACTACAGATACAACAAGTAGTAGGCCAAAATCATGGCCTAATAAATTAGAGGTAATTTTCTATTTTTTAATCATTATCATGGTGGTATGATGAAGAACTGTATTTTAAGCATAATGCAAAAATTAATGTTTTCGAAATTACTCATACATTAACTTTTAGGTAAAATCGAGATATTTGGAACCTCGGAACAAATCTGTTCCGAAAGAAACTACGCAATCAGTAAATCAAGAAAAAGGCGTGGTACTGCAACGACGAAAAATAATGATTTCATCTTCAGATTCATCTCGCACATCCAGTCCGGCAATGAAACGGGCCACCGATAAAAAACCATTGGCCAAGATAAAGTTACCTATAAAGAAAGATGTAAAAGCACTTTCTTCGGACAGTTTAACAGAATCGAATGCCAGCAGAACGAATACAAAAACCGATTCGATCAGTAAAAGTTGCGGTATCACGCGTCCGGAATCTCCGTCTTTCAAACAAAAAAGTACGGAGATAGGCTTATCTGTAGATTCTTTGGCAGAATCGAAGAACAAGCCAACAACTGTAAAGAAGAAGATTACTAAAATGGATACTTCGATGTCCACGGATAGTCTTATGACTGAAGTAACAACAACGCCCAAATCAAACACATCAAATAAACTTTCACCGACTTTAGGGAAAACAATAAATAAAACACAATCTTATGATAAAGGAGCAAAGAAGAATTCACCACCGATGCAGCAAAGAAGTCCACTTACAGCGACAAGAAGACCACGGAGATCGTTAGAAAATTCGACTGCAGCTAGTAGAAGCCGAGCAGCTGCTATTAGCGCTTACCATTTACGAAGAAATCTTCTAGATGCTGCGAAAACACCAGATATCCCAAGTAAGTCGTTAAATAATGTATCGGGTAAATCGGTAAATATGCGACCGATTACACAATCGACAGTTAATCATCCTAATGTAATAAGAGAAAAGAAAGAAGGAATGTCAACTCAACAAGGCTCCGAGAGCCCTAGCAAAAGATCTTCCCCCAAATCATGTGGCACTAATAAGATAAATAAACCTACGGTCACTAATAAAAGGACATCTACTACAAAGACCACTTCTGATGAGAAAATTAAAAATAAGTGCCATAATGGGGAAGTTCCAAAACAACTGACAGTAGGTTCTAGATCGGGAACGTTTTTAAAGGATGAACCTACGATTCTTAAAAAGGCAGACATTAAATCTTCTCAAATTAACACTTAAATCCATGAATTGGTTGCTATGTAAGTTTTTGTACGTACATAGCACCGTTAGTTTAATGACTATACATATAAAACTATCGTCTTTAACCGCAAACGTGATAACTTCAACCGCGATAATCATATTATGTGTAAAAAAAAACGAAGTATAAATAATTTTAATTTAAAGCAAGTTGCAGTTGACATTAATTATCAAAGGAAATATATTTAAAATGCATTTATTAGGTATATAGAAAGTGCTATGATTTTGTTGTAATGTTGAAGAAATGAGATATAGCACTTTATGCAAGTTAAAAATTATTATATTTCATTTTTTTTTTCGATTATCTTGATCTCTGACAGTGTGGAAATATGAGTTTTGAAGAGATTTTGAGTGTCTTTCAAATTCAATTAAAATATTACGTAATTAGAAGATATCAGAAAAAAATATCACTTTCAATCATAAATGCAGCTAGCTTAATATCCCACCCAATTTTCAACCAATGTATGCATTAATATATCATAGTATTACAGACTGCATATTCATAGAATGTAGATGTATCATGGCCAGTTATATGGTATTTTTAGACAGACCTTTCTTTCTTCCACATTAAAAAGCCATATTATCCAAAATTGTTTCGTAGAAATATTTACTAATTTTACTAGTTGCAATATATAAGTAATTGTAAAGTAATTATTTCTTACCATTTAATGTTGCCATCTTACAAACTAATTCTTATTGTAAGTAGAACTCCGTTTACCCTCCAATCCTTAATAATGAATTATACGTAGTTATTGTATTTATTTATTAAATTTATATCTCTATTTTGCAATGTACATTTCTATGCAATCTTTGTATCTAGTCATTTATATATTTTAAATATTTACTTTTATGTAATGTTAATAAATAACTTGATATAATGTTAAAAAATCGTTTAATAATTTTTTTTAGTCATCATTGTTTACATAAATTTTGGTATAATAGAAGATTAAAATTTTTTATAAAATATCTTTCATATTTCATTCACATTTCTTTTTACATGTACTTATATCTAACTTCAAATATACATGAGAATAATACAATTAAGTTTTATACATCTAACAATGTTCCACGTGGTCTTGTTCTTTTTGGATCTGCTTCAGGTGGAGGCATAGCTTTTCGTTTATTCATTCCTTTCCTCTCTAGTTGTTTTTCTATTATTCGCGCATTATTAGCATACGAATCAGCAACTTCTCTCTGCAAATATAAAATATACATTTTGAATACATACAGTTTCGTACAGAAGAAAAGTATAAAAATGTAAAATATTAAATGAATTTTTTATTCTTAAATATTAGATTTATAGTATAATGAATTTTCATTATACACAATGTTAGCATCATTCTTTGTAGTATTTCATAATTTCTTCCAATTTATTTAATAAAATTTAGAGGAAGTTTTTTTTTTATCTAAATATCTGTCTTATTTCAAATAATACATAACAAAAATATATCTAGATAAACATCTCTTTATGTATAAAATCGATAACTTACCGCTTCAATTTCATCTTCTTCTTCATCAATTGTAGAAACAGTAACAGAACTGAATTTTCCCATATTCTTTGTGTGCTTTGTTACCATTATTTTCTTGGGTTTTTCAATAGCTACTTGATTATATATATCTGTCATTGGACCTTCACCAGAACTTTTGATTACCGCACCTTTTACAATAAATACGATATTTGTTGCTTGGTCATGTTTATAATAAAGAAAAAGACCACATCTGTAAAGATACAAACATACATCAAACTTTTTGTAATTTGAAAAAATATATGAAGAGCCATAACTTGACTCTTCAGTTTTTAAAATTATTTTTAAATGTTTAATAAAAAAAAAAAAAAACTAATGAAGATATGTCAAAAAATAAAATAAAATATGCCATACTTTTTACATTTTTGACGATACTGTTTTTCTATTCCTTCAGAACGTTTTAAGTATACAATTTCATCTTGCTCGCAAGTCATTTTGTGAGCATGTTTACTTCCATCAATAACTCTCGCACCATCCCTTTTTCTCAAAGGTAATTTTTCTATGGCACAATCTGCAATAACATAAAAAAATATCTGTTATTTATCCTTACTCGTGATTCTGAATAGAATAAATGTCTATGATAAACAAAATGAACCTAACCTAAAATTAATGTCATCTGTCCACATAAACAGTAATAAATATGTAATGGTTTTTCTTCGCTATATTCCTCTTGGTCTTTCGTGTCGGAACATATTATACTTCTTGAAACCACTTTCGGCATTTTTACTTCAAATCATATACTCTCGTTTCTAGTTGAAAATATTTCAATCTAACAGTTTCTGTCACGCGAGTTCATAATTCGAGAACTCTAACGTTTTGGTATTATTTTGAACATTAAAATATGTTTTGAACATTAAAATATATTTTGAACATTAAAATATGAACGTTAAAATATGTAGAACTTGATTATGCCAGAAATTGCAATCGAAACTAAATGTGATAAAAATTATTTAGCATGAAAATAAAATTTAACTCTTACGTATGTGATAATAATTACATTTACCAGTAACTGAGGTTTCGTTTTCAATGCGAGAAAATATTTCAACTTCCAGAATATAACGTTATATCTGAATAATCTTAGAAAATTAAATCTCTCATTAAAATGTTGATTCGATAAAATACAACATAAAATTGTTGAATTTGTCAGTTTCAAGAAGTAGTGGGGATAGCAGTAGTCAGTTACTAAAGCATCACATCACTCCGTTTGAGATCTCAAGATGGCGCTCGTCGCGCGCAAGGTTAGCGACGCCTGTTGGCGAAAATCGCGTACCACGCGGATGAGCTAAGAGGATTTCCCCAGTCTTTCCTGTAGTTAAGAATTTCGCTTGGTTGTACTCCGTATTCGGTTGCGGCACAGTGTTTGACGCGCAGTCGAGGGGGACCAGTCGGAGCGAGCGCGAGATGTCAATGTCGAGTGGACAATGAGTTTGTCCACGACGTTTGTCAAATAAAGAAAACGGTGTGTAATGTGAACGGTGAGAAAATCGGCGTGATATGGTGCACAATCGAATCGCGATCGAGATCTTCAATTACCAGTACGCGCGCGGTAATGTGAGCGAAGAGTAGAGAGAGAAAAAGGAAAAAAAAGAAAAGGCTACGCGAGGGGAAAAAAGTGCAGTGACTCTAGATTTGATTGGCGGCGCACGCAGAGAGCGGTCCTCCGTGCACATATACATGTACGTATATACAGCATGCATATAAACGTTCATATATACAAAAGTCGACATACGACAAGTCTTTCTCGTCGTCTCTCTTTGCCTTTCTCTCTTCCTCTCCGCATTCCCGCAGTAGCTTGCATGTAATACTTACACTTTTTTCCCCCTCGTTTTATGCGAGATTTATGACCGCGCCCCCTTCGCACTCGATACGTTCTAAGCTACATGCTTTGTCCAACTTGTTACAAAATAGAAAACCGAATCGGTACGCACCGGCATCCATCGGTGGAATTCTTGCCTCGACAATCGAATTTATACACACACACAGTGTTGAACTAACTAAGTAGAGAATGCAAGAGAGACAGATAGAGACAGATAGAGAGAAAGAGAGAGAGAGAAATGATATCGCGATGAGACTTGATATTTTGAATTAATAAACGTAAACAGCTCGCGAGCCATTGAATTTTTTATGAATCAAATTCCGTAACTCGCGACATGTTCAACTGCTACGAACAGCAATAAAGTTCTCTAAGTCGAACGTGGCCTTGCTTGTTTACCTTTTTGCAACGCCATTCAAAAACCTGAAAGTGTACACAGTACGTTATCGTACGACGGGAATTCGAGATCGTTTTCGCGATATGAAAATCAGTTCGATTCGATAATCGCGGTGGGATTATTATTTTCTATACACGTAAGACATCGTTGCTTCGTACGAAATTAGCTACGATACGGTCATCTTTTGGATTGTGATAAATATCGGTTCGCAGTTGGTGAATTTTGTAATCTTGTTATCTGTCAGCTGACAACAAGTCAGCCATGTCGTAGTTACGAGCAATCGTTTCCGCGTACGTCTGTCATGGGAGTTTTGAATTGTTTCTCTTACAACTTCATCGCGACTTCAAGTTTTGAATATTCAGGACGAATTTCGTGTTTCCGGGATCGAGTGAGTAAAAACTTGATTTGTCTCGAAACGTTGGTTTTTGTGCTCCGTTTGTTCTACGTAGATCTTGAATCTTAGTCGCGAGAGAAAATTATGTTTACAGAGTAATGGTGTTTACAATGACAGGAAATAATTGCGTAAATAAATTATATGGAATTGTAACTATGCAGCTTGTCAATGTAATATTTATATATTCATATAACTTTGAGTAACTATACTAATGAGCAAAATCGAACACACGTATAGAATTTTAATATTAATAATAATTTATCGAGCGTTCGCCTCTAGAATTATTAAAAAATGGAAAATATAGTAGAAAATATAGTAGTGTTTTACAGGATATTTTGGCTTTTCAAAAAAAATTTTGCTTGCTACTGTTTCGTCAAATACAAATTGTTTCCGCGCCACAGTTAATTAAAATGAAAAATTGTCAATACTTTAAACTTTGTTGTAACAATCTAGTCAGCCTGAGCTTCTATTTCCATTGGTCCGAATTCGTTCTTTTTTAAAGTTCTTTTCTTTGAAAAAAAAATGGTAAAAACTCACACATACGCAGGAACACTGAAAAATTTTTTTATGACGAAATTCGTCACATCCGTTTCGAAGATTGAGATTTCCCATTTATAATATATCTTTAAAACTTGCTGTACGATTTTTTTTCCATTATTTTATTAAACTTTGAACATTGGAGTTAAATCAACATTTCGTCACCTAACCTTACTAACCTTAATGTTTAAAGTTTAATAAAATTGCGCAAAAAGAAATCGTACAACAAGTTTAAACGAATCGTTGTAAAGGAAAAATTTCAATTTTCAAAACCATGTTACAAATTTTCAAGTTACAAAAAAAATTGTTTAATGTTTTTGTTTAATGTTTGAATTCT